CTTTCCTCCTGAAACAAGGTGCTCCAGGTTCGTAGGCACTGGGTTTGTCATTGTTGATACTCATTTCTTGCCTCACTCTTTACTGTTGCCTTTTAACGAATTGATTGGCATCCCGTGGGCAGCGGTGGCACCCCATCGGCCCAACACTCTGTGTAGTGATTGTCGCCGCACCGAGCGTTATCGAGAAAAGGGTTCCACTATCGTCCACGTGATGAGGACGAGCACAAGGAAAGAGCGACAAGGTTGAGGCCGTCTACGTGACATTCGGAGCTCTGTAACGAGCGGTGCAGGGACTTAATTCGAAAACGAGATCCCACGTGCTCTCCCCCGCCTTTCTCCTCGACAGGACGTCGAGTAGCTCGCATGAAAGTTCATAGTACTTTTCGGATTAAACGAACGTTTGAAAGCTGAACGAGCCATTTCTTTACCGCGCGGCGATGGCCACTTCTCAGTAAAACTGAACCCATGAGGGATTTCAGTTCTGTCTGTGTCCCCACACTCAATTTCCCAAATATCCTTGGCACACCCCATTCTTTGGTGTTCTTCCGGGGCCTGTTCCACATTTTTAATCACTCTGACCGGAAGACAGTCCAGGGTGTGAGGTGAATGTCACATGCATGGGGTTGGTCAATGGGCAGGATATGCGCATCGTAAATACCAGTATTACAACCTGATCAGACAACAGCCCACCCCAAGTACAGCCCAAAACAAAATCCGCAACCCCGTTATCCAAACAGATCAAATCCTAATCTACCCCGTCACCAGACCGCAACCATTCTACAACCCTAATATAGCAAAATCCAAGGTAAGTAAACAAAACAAACAGATTCCAAAACCCAAGGTAAGTAAACAAAACCAACAGATTCCAAAACCAAGATAGCCAATATTCTCATCCTACTCACTGACGGACACAGTTGACCAAGCATTCACAAAATTCCAACTCTATACCCCAAGTACTTCTAATTAGTATCTCCAACTAAAAGACAAGCCACCAGATACAGGAGAGTGATAAACACCAACCCTAACAAGGGGTTACGTGATAAACACCAACCCTAACAAGGGGTGACGTGGCACTAATCCCGCATGGGTGAAATCAACGGATCAATAATCCACCAAATGCCAAGTTCTTGCCACAAATGACAGCGATTAATTTCACCCGCTAGCGAATTTAACAAAAGAAAGTTCTACGAGAATCCCAACCCTATTCAAAGACATGATCGTAATAACTACCCTTGAACACCGACCCTTGTTTTTTTTCTTCTTTTTTTAATAACTGGTAATCTATATTCACAACACACAACGTAACGCTTGCAATGTAGGGGAACACAGTCGATGATCTGTCCAAGCACCAGAAATCGAAAAGTCTTTAGCAACACCACGCCCGAAGTAGGAGCAAAGGCAACAGTGGACAACCCCGCTCACAGTTTCAAGTCCGTTGTCAGCGAGGGCAAACGATACCGATTGCAGCATGAAATCCTTCATCTGTGTCCCGGAAGTCGACGTTTATCGATGCACTCTCGTTTGGGTTGCGGAAGGGATAGGCTTGGCAGGGAGTGCCTTGCTTAGCCCACTTGGCCGCAACAAATGATGTGTGGGACGCCAGGCCCGTTTCCCGGCTATACGAATATATGAGACGTGTCTTCTTGTGAAAAAAAATAAACAAACATAAAAAGACAACTCGGCGAATGTTGTGTCCAACCGAGGAAAACCGTGAGTGTATACAGAAAGGTTTAGGGTCAGGTGGGGATGTGTTGTATTTGAGAGATGCCTGAACTGGATCTTAAACTGAAATCCTGACTGCGCCCTAGTTACCCCTTCTTTCTTTCTTTCTTTCTTTCTTTCTTTTCTAAGGGCGTCGCCGCACAGGACAGGAAACGAAGAACGAAACGAGTGCATCTTCCTGCCGAAAATGGCCAGGTTCATCGGTTTGGTATAAAAAGTAACGGCCGTATTTTGCCACCTTTCGTGGGCAGATGCCCTCGTTTCGTTTTCGTTTCCTGTGCCGTGCGGCGAGACCGTAAACCTGCTTGAAGACTATTACGGACTTGCCTAGAAGCCCCCTTGAACCCACTGGCTTCCCCCAAGACAACTTGAGCGCACCCTCATTATGACGGTATCGGACTGGAAAGGCCTTGTATACATACAGTCAGATTCAGTGTGCACTATGTTCGGGGGAAGATGGTCGCCACCAAATTGCAGGATGCACTGGCAGCCAATTACACTACCACTATGACCAAGTCATTTAGCGTATTGTGGACGCTACAAGACCACATTAAAGGTCACTGTTTGTTTCTAACTTGTTTTTGTTTTCGTTCTTTTTTTCAAGTTTGTGTGTGTGTGTGTGTGTGTAAGTAGAGGGGTGATGTCCTTGAGATCTCATCATCAAACTGACTGCCTTCAGCTATTCAAATCTGTTGTCTTTCTTTCATCTAGCCATGATTCCAGCCTTCCTACCATCCTTCACCCAAATACAACGCCCGCTCTCATTATGCCAGCATCT